GATTTCCTTTTTTACAATAATAAGCGGTCAGGTTAGTAAAACAACAAGATCACAACTGATTTTAGGTTAGTAGGTCAATCACATATAGTTGAATTACTAAAATTCTTTTATGTCATGTTTTTTCTCATGGTTACTGTGTTTTTGTGTGAATGCATCAATGCAGTGCATGTTCTCAGTTTGCAGAGCTTGGGTTCATTGAATGAGTTTACCAAAAAAGTAAATATTGCAGAATATACAGCCTCATGCTGCATAACTAAGCTCCATTTCATATTGAATAAACGAAAATTATTAAATGTATCTCAACCTCTTGCCGTCCGCCTGCTGTTTATAAACGGCAGGGCGGTGGCAGTCCAGGGGCGGGTTGCCGTTCATAAACGGCACCTGCCTTTTCTAGCTGTGTGCGCTCCCTGGGAGCGCGCACCACCGCGATCCGGTGCCCGCTGTGTCCTCCGGACACAGTGAAACACCGATCGGACGGGACCTCTGTACGAGGTCCCGATCATGTGATCACTGATTGGCGAATCAGTGATCACATGCAAAGTAGTAAGCAAGATGTCACTTGTGACATCATTGCTTACTACGTGTGAAATCTGTGAATGATCACAGATGTCACATGGTACAAGGCTATTCACAACAGCCTTGTACCATGTGACAAACTGTGACCAATCACAGCTCACTCAGTACTTAATGACTGCAAGAATGCAGACAGAGAAAGAGAAATGATTGCTTTTACATCCTATATGGGTGTAAAAGCAATCAGTGTAAAAAAAAAAAAAAATCTTCATCACCCCCCACAAGTAGTACAGTGTCACCATGGTGACACTGTACTGCTAGGGTGACAGTATGTAAAAAAAAAAAAAAAAATAATAATAATATGAAAAAAAATATATATATATATAAAAAAATGTTTAAAAATTATAATTTTTGGTTATAAACTAATTTGGATTTTTTTTTTTTTTTACTAAAAAAATAACAGAATAAATTTTGGCCAAGATTTATGATGAAATATTATTTATTTGCAAAATTTTATTAAAAAAAAACTTTTCAAAATTTTTGGACTTTCATTTACATAGTAAAAAAAATTAAAATCCCAGCGGTGAATAAATAGCACCAAAATAAAGCTTTATCTGTCTCAAAAAAATGGTAAAAAATTCATATGGGTACAGTATTGCATGACCGCGCAATTGTCATTCAAAGTGTGATAGCGCTGAAAGCTGAAAATTGCCCTGGACAGGAAGAGGGTAAAAGTGTCCGGACAGGAAGTGGTTAAATAGATTTCTACTCGGAAAGCATTAAAAAAAAAATCCAACTAAAAAGAAAAAAAAAAATCCGATTTGAATTGAAAAAAAAAAAAAAAAAACCAACTTGTAGGTACAAGTGAAAAAGTGGAATTTACTACCACTTTAAAGTCAATAGGCTTCTGAGGCGCCAAAACATCTCAGAAGTCGGACATGGCACTATCTTTGCGGCAGCACACCAAGGTACATCGCCATGTGTTATAATTCCTGTCTGCTCTCTTAGTCGTTAGGATGTGACCACTCAGCGTCACTGTAACACGTACATTCCCTCACTTTGTTTCAGTCCCCAGCACAAAACGTTGCACCCCTTCAGAGGGATCCAAAATAGCAATAAGAACCTAACAGAAGATAACCCTTCATCACGCATACCTAAAACTGAAAAAAAAAGTCCAACTGATCATCACACTACTATCAACACTCACATGTGTAAGGGTTAACCCTGGGGGCAATGACAAGCACATCCAAGTACTCATTCCAACAGCATGGAAAGTCTCTGCAGTCAATCACACATCACTGGAGGTGCACCACATGCCGAAGTCAAACTCCTTGCAGAGAGACAAGTTGCAGGGCTGGTGGGTGCGACAACTGGATATCATGCGTATACCGTGAATCATTTTATTTCTGAGCACACAGCAGCCTTCAGATGATCGGTAATCTGGAGTGCTGGAAAACGCACGCCAAACTTTATCGCAAATCATTTAACATTTTCTCCCTTATTAATCCCAGGAGAGAACCGATTTGTAATAACATAGAACATGATAGTACAAATATTACCAAAGGCTATAGTTGGTGTTGGCGTTTATGTTCAGGTTCACACCTATGCATTACAATGCACGTGTTCCCATTGAAAGCAATGGAAACGCATGAAACTGCACATCATATATTGTAACGTGTGCAGGCATTTACACACAGATGTGCACTGCAACGCATATTACAATTATGTATTACTTATATAGCGCCGTCAATTTACACACATACACACATATATTATATACATACATATTTATTACATTCACATCAGTCCCTAACCCTCAAGGGGCGTACAATCTAAGGTCCCTAACTCACATTCATACATACTAGGGACAATTTAGACAGGAGGCAATTAACCCAACAGCATGTCTTTGGAGGGTAGGAGGAAGCCGGAGTACCCGGAGAAAACCCACGCAGGCACAGGGAGAACATGCAAACTCCAGGCAGGTGGTGCTGTGGTTGGGATTCGAACCAACAACCCTAGTACTGCCAGGTGGAAGTGCTAACCATTTAGCCACTGTGCAATGTAGCAAACATGCTTAGGTGCTGCTTATGAGTACGCTGACAGCTCGAGAAGAGATAATCAGCATCCCTCAGAGGGGACATGTATACTGATTATCAGAGCACCGATGATCAGTGTGCCATGATGACCAGTGTAGCCCCATCAGTGCCACCTGTCAGTGTCCATCAGAGTCAGCTGTCAGTGCTCATCAATGCCATCTGCCAGTGCCCATCAATGCCACATTTCAGTGCATACCAGTGCACATCAATGCCACATATCAGTGTCCATCTGAGCTGCCTTTCAGTGTCACCCATCCGTGCCAGTCAGTGCCGCCTATCAGTGCCAGTCAGTGCCGCCTATCAGTTACCACTTTAGATATACAGAGGAGGTCTGGTGCTAGAATTACTGCTCATGTTCCGACATTCGTGGCAATACCTCATTTTATGGGACAATCGCTGTTTGTGATTAAGTACGGGACAGATGTGTGCATTCACCTTTGCACGCAAGCACAGAGGAACAGGTGCAATTTAAATGTGTTACTTCAATTTTACACAGTTGCTTTAATTTTTCTATCACTTTTATTGCGGTCACAAGGAATGTAAGCATCTCTAGTGACAGCAGTAGGCAATGACAGGTACGCTTTATGGAGAGCTCTGGAGTCAATGTGACCCCAAATCCCTTCTCTGCCCATAAAAGGCATTCAATCACACCAAGGTTTGTATGATTGAATGCTTTTGATTTTTAAAAAACGATGCCGTTTAGTTCTGAGTGGACTGGAACAGATGTCAGTTTATCGCTTCTAGGTTACTATATTACAAAGCCGATCCGATGGTGTTTGTTCAGCTCTCTGACTAGCCAACGATAGTGGAGAGGAGCTCCCATTAAAGCCAGGGAAGGTGGGGGGCCTCATGTAATACCAATCAAGTGGCTAGTTAGCTGCTCGGATTACTATTACAAGACAGCAAACCATCGGCTCTAAAAACTGGTACTGGGGTGATGCCTGCAGCTGAGGGCATCATCTCGGTACAACGGCTCAAACTCCAGAAATATATATGAGTACGTTGCTGGAGATGAAGTGGATATAGATCTACTGAAAGCAAGTCATGGGCAGTTTCTCTATGCGACTTTGATTAAACCGTCCCCCTCTACTTCTAAAAGTGAAAAAAGAAAAATCTATGGAGGCTCTAAGAGAGATCACCCTTGAAACATGTAACCCAAAATGCACACCCTAGGCAGTGACTAAAGGCTGCTGAATAGGATTCAACAATTCTGACAATCAGTGGACAGAGTGGGGTTTATTTACTAAAGCTGGAGAGTCCAAAATCAGACTCCCTTCTGCATAGAAACCAATCAGCTTCCAGGTTTCATTGCCAAAGCTTCACTGAACAAGCTGAGGTTAGGAAGCTGATTGGTTTCTATGCAGAAGGGAGTCTGATTTTGGACTCTCCAGCTTTAGTAAATAAACCCCAGTGAGTCTTCCCCACCACCTTGGCAGTCCTAAGATTTTGGTCCACGTCGTGTGTGTTTTTTACGTAACTGGCCATCTGAAGGCAACGTACCCATCCAATCCTAAACACAATGGTTCCTAGTAGGGATGAGCTCAGGCATGTTCGTACACGAGTCCAAATCCAACCCTGGACCACCCCACAAACCTCTGGGATATACATCATACATCCCATGGAGCTGCAGGACCTGTCGCCCTGCAGTCCATGATCTTGGGCTTGTACAGTAGGGGGCAGCTGTGAGCGATAAGGAAGTGAGTTGGCTCCTGAATGCAAGATGGCGGCATGGGAGATCAGAAGCTCTGCGAAGTGTCGTGCATGGAAGAGAACGGCTAGACTCCATGAGTTGGCAAGTATGCATTTTCTAATGTGCTTGAAGCTGCTGAAGTTTATTTTTCCATAGTCGGGTGACGTTCCTCTTCAGGTCAGACCAGATTTCACGTAATCAGTATGCATCAAATAACTTAATGCTGCTTTAACTGGTCTGCCTATATACATTTTTTTTTTTTTACATTTGGAGACTTATGTAGTACTTAGATGTTGGCCGGACACCAAGTTTGCTTTCGATGCCACTGTGTCTCTCTATACAAAGGCAGGTTTTCTAGTAAACAAACTTCATATGACAACCATTACTGGCTGCTGTGGTGACCAATGCTGATTGGCTTCCAATTGCTATTCTGAGCAGTTCCCATGCTAGAGAACTTTGCTCACATTTGGACTGAAGTAAGAACTGTGCTCCAACCAACAAGTCATGAACCTTCAAAACTTTGTTACAGTTTATTAGCTGATGCTTCTTTGTTTCCAGAAGATAAAGTTCTGGCAGGTTTTGGTGTTAAACACATGCTTGTGATACTTTAAAACAGGGGTGGGCAATTCATTTTCCCAAGGGGCCACATCCAAAACTAGGACTGTTGTAGAGGGCCAATCTTAAAGAGGAGCTCCACCCAAAAGGGGAAGTTCCACTTTAAGGTACCCGCTCCCACTTCCGGTCCGATCGCCTAGGCCAGGGGTGGGCAACTGTGGCTCTCCAGCTGTTGGTGAACTACAAGTCCTCTGCCTTTGTGAGTCATGCTTGTGACTGTCAGTTTTGCAATGCCTCATGGGACTTGTAGTTCTACAACAGCTGGAGGGCCACAGTTGCCCACCCCTGGCCTAGGCGACCGGAAGGTGTCCTCCCTCCCTGTAGTCTTTTGGGACACGGGACAGGTCCCAGAAGACTACAGGACCATTCATGAAGTGCAGCGCTACTCACATATGCGCAGTGGGTACCCGGCTGTGAAGCCACAAGCCATCACAGCTGGGTGCCCATACTGAGGATGCCGGCCTCCTGGAATCCAGGACGGCTGGTGAAACGGGCTGTGGGGGACGCACCACGGGACTAAGGGACAGGTAAGTGGCTGTTTTTTAAAAGTCAGCAGCTACAGTTTTAGTAGCTGCTGACTTTAATTTTTTGACAGGGTGAGTGGAACTCCGCTTTAAATTCTGCTCAGTATTAATTTTGGACCTGGGAACACCCGCAAGTGTGCAAACATAAAACAAGCACCTGGTTCTAGGAGTAAAAGGTAAAACGGCATTTAAAATAGGTGTCTTTCAGACAGGAAGTCGGGGGTGGTAAAAAAACAGGCAGCTGAGCCAGACGGGGCCGCAATACTTTCCTTCCAGCAGCAGCATTTTGAACTCAGGGTGCAGAGTCTGACAAGTGGCACTGCTGGTCAAACTCACCCATTGAGTTCAGCGAGGAAGCCGACAGACTCAGAGAGGAATGCTGAGCGTGAAGGCATCATAGACCAAACAGGGACAACCAAAAGGCGGGATGAGGCCCTGAAGACACAATTAACCCAGGTCTACTTTACAAATATTAAATGTGGACAAAGCAGCCTTGTGGAGTGCAAACGCTCCTTTTATATTACATTTGCTGGCCTCGAAAAAACATTGGGTGTCCAACGGCGTCATCCCGGCAGCTGTCTTCTCTTCAGTCCCTGCTACAGGCCCACAACAAAGGAACGTCTCTTTTCGTATTCAATATAACCCATGCTAAATAGATGGGGAACCGCACTACTCGGGTTTAATATTCACATTTTGTTATATTCTAAAGAATCAACTGAATACACTACATGGCCAAACGTTTGTGGACACCAGATCATCGTTCCGATAGGAGCATGCTGGACATCCCTTTCTAAAGCCATGGGCATGAATAAAGACTTGGCTCTGTGGTGGTCACCATCAGATTTTGAAGTTTGTGGCAATTTGTGTTCATTCATCCAAAAGAACATTTGTTTGGTCAGGTACTGATGTTGGATGAGAGGATCTGCTCTGCAATCAGCATTCCAATCCTTCCTAAAGGTGTTCAGTCAGTTGAGGTCGATCTCCTCCACAATAATCTCCACATTAAACCCGGTCTTTATAGAGTTGACAGGGTATCTTTTTCAGCATGCTGACAAATCTGCCAAAACTGTACAATCCATATGGAAAATATGGCCTCCAACTCTACTCAAAGTATACCTTCTGATGATCATTAGGCAGAAGGTACAGAGAACGCCATTGGTCTATCAAGTGTGCCTGATGAAAATGATACCATGTTCCTGATAGGTGAGGAGTCATCATTGAAAGACTGGCTGAAAAATGGTGGAAAGACTTGGGACAACCTTTCAGGTTATTCCCACACGCCCACATCCCATACACCATGTGACCACGACAAAATATACCCAGAATGGTCATAACATATAGAACGTTCAACATCAAGGGAGGTGTGCCGAGGATTCATAAATGAAAATGTCCAGACGAGGAGGGAGCAATGGTGATCAAAGGACGAGGAAAGATTAGGGGCGCAGCTCCTACGCAGGGCGGGGGAAGCACAGGGGCGCAGCTCCTACGCAGGGCGGGGGGATGTTACCGGGTGTCCGGTACACGGGGGGGGGGGGGGATGTTACCGGGGGGTCCGGTACACGGGGGGGCGGGGGGATGTTACCGGGGTCCGGTACACGGGGGGGGGGGGATGTTACCAGGGGGGCGGGGAGATTATCGGGGTCCGGTATACGGAGGGCGGGGAGATTATCGGGTCCGGTATACGGAGGGCGGGGGAGATTATCAGGGTCCGGTATACGGAGGGCGGGGAGATTATCGGGGTCCGGTATACGGAGGGCGGGGAGATTATCGGGGTCCGGTATACGGAGGGCGGGGAGATTATCGGGGTCCGGTATACGGAGGGGCGGGAGATTATCGGGGTCCGGTATACGGAGGGCGGGGGAGATTATCGGGGTCCGGTATACGGAGGGCGGGGAGATTATCGGGGTCCGGTATACGGAGGGCGGGGAGATTATCGGGGTCCGGTATACGGAGGGCGGGGAGATTATCGGGGTCCGGTATACGGAGGGCGGGGAGATTATCGGGGTCCGGTATACGGAGGGCGGGGAGATTATCGGGGTCCGGTATACGGAGGGCGGGGAGATTATCGGGGTCCGGTATACGGAGGGCGGGGAGATTATCGGGGGGTCCGGTATACGGAGGGCGGGGAGATTATCGGGGTCCGGTATACGGAGGGCGGGGAGATTATCGGGGTCCGGTATACGGAGGGTGGGGGATATTATCGGGGTCCGGTATACGGAGGGTGGGGGATATTATCGGGGTCCGGTATACGGAGGGTGGGGGAGATATTATCGGGGTCCGGTATACGGAGGGTGGGGGATATTATCGGGGTCCGGTATACGGAGGGTGGGGGATATTATCGGGGTCCGGTATACGGAGGGCGGGGAGATTATCGGGGTCCGGTATACGGAGGGCGGGGAGATTATCGGGGTCCGGTATACGGAGGGCGGGGAGATTATCGGGGTCCGGTATACGGAGGGCGGGGAGATTATCGGGGTCCGGTATACGGAGGGCGGGGAGATTATCGGGGTCCGGTATACGGAGGGCGGGGGATATTATCGGGGTCCGGTATACGGAGGGCGGGGGGGGTATTATCGGGGTCCGGGGAGGGCGGGGGTTATTATCGGGGTCCGGTATACGGAGGGCGGGGGATATTATCGGGTCCGGTATACGGAGGGCGGGGGTATTATCGGGTCCGGTATACGGAGGGCGGGGGGGTATATTATCGGGGTCCGGTATACGGAGGGTGGGGGATATTATCGGGGTCCGGTATACGGAGGGTGGGGGATATTATCGGGGTCCGGTATACGGAGGGTGGGGGATATTATCGGGGTCCGGTATACGGAGGGTGGGGGATATCATCGGGGTCCGGTATACGGAGGGTGGGGATATTATCGGGGTCCGGTATACGGAGGGTGGGGATATTATCGGGGTCCGGTATACGGAGGGTGGGGGATATTATCGGGGTCCGGTATACGGAGGGTGGGGGATATTATCGGGGTCCGGTATACGGAGGGTGGGGGATATTATCGGGGTCCGGTATACGGAGGGTGGGGGGATATTATCGGGGTCCGGTATACGGAGGGTGGGGGATATTATCGGGGTCCGGTATACGGAGGGTGGGGATATTATACCGGGGTCCGGGGATATTACCGGGGGTCCGGGGATATTACCGGGGTCCGGTATACAGAGGGCGGGGTCCGTGATCTCCGGTGGGAGGAGTCTGTATAGCAGGCTGGGTTCATACAAGGTGATGCGGGGTGGGGGGAGGGGTGTACTGAGGAGTCCCCGATCTCCGGGGTCACTGTGTGGGGGAGGGGAGGCTTCTCTCGGCCCCCGCCCCACCTCTCTCGATAATACGGATCGGCTCTAACCCTCCCCCTCACTCCCCGCCACCCACCCCTCTGGGTTCTGCTCTCCCGCCCCGCACCTGAAAGTCTCGGTCCTCGTTAAACCGGGAGAATCTGTCCGCGGCCATCTTCCTGCGTCTGCGGGAACCAAGATCGCGTACATCACACTCCGCCCACTCGTCATTGGACGCAGCGACAAGCCCCTCCCTCGGAACGGGACCACGCAATGTCCCTCGGTCACGTTTTGCGTGCAACAATACCACCGCCTCCTCTCCGCCCTGCCACGCCCCTTTCTGTTCCGTCCCGCCCTCCTGAGGTCATCTATTTGTAGTTCCGGGATTGGCTGGTATTTTCAGACAGTCCCGGGGAGGAGGTCACACTTCACCGGGAGGGCGGCGAGCTTTATACGGGGATATGACCCAGCGTGACCCCATCATAGGGCATGGAGGGTTTATAGGTCAGGACTGTGCTGGGGGACCACAAGTCTCAGCATGACCACCAAACTCACAGCCAGCGGTCCCTCTGTGCATTACACTCAGCCAGATCCTAAAACATTGATCCCCAGGGGTGGGGCTGTGCCTGCCCTGCAAGGGTTAATTGCTGCTTTATATCCCGAGGAAGAAAACAAAAATTACCCATCCCTGCAGCGTCCTCTCAGAGTGCTGGGCTCAGTAGTACATCATTCAGACTGCAGGGGTCAGTAGTAAGTAATGTAGAGTGCAGGGGTCAATATTGATGTAGAGTGCAGGGGTCAGTAGTAAGTTATTCAGACTGCAGAGGTCAGTAATAAGTTGTTCAGAGTGCAGTCAGTAATAAGTTGTTCAGAGTGCTGGGGTCAGTAGTAAGTGACAGAGTGCAGGGGGGGTCAGTAGTTAGTAATGTAGATGTAGGGGTCAGTAGTATGCAATGTAGCATCCAGGGCACAGTAGTATGTAATATAGAATGCGGGGCTCAGTCGTACATAATTCAGAGTGCAGTGGTCAGTAGTAAGTAATGTAGAGTGCTGGGGTCAGTAATTCAGACTGCAGGGGTCAGTAGTAATGGTATTTCAGACTGCAGGGGTCAGTAAGTGAAGTAGAGTGCAGGGGTCAGTAGGGACGTAGAGTGCGATGGTCAGTAGTAATGTAGAGTGTAGGGGTCAGTAGTATGCAATGTAGGTCAAGGCACAGTAGTATGTAATATAGAATGCAGGGCTCAGTAGTACATAATTCAGAGTGCAGGGGTCAGTAGTAAGTAATGTAGAGTGCTGGGGTCAGTATTAATTCCGAGCGCAGGAGTCAGTAGTAGGTAATTCAGACTGCAGGGGTCAGTAGTACATAATTCAGACTGCAGGGGTCAGTAGTAAATTATTCGGAGTACAGGGGTTTGCAGTAAGTTATTCAGTGTACGGGGGTCAGTAGTAAGTGACGTACAGTGCTGGGGTCAGTAGTATGTAATGTAGTGTCCAGGGCACAGTAGTATGTAATGTAGAATGCAGGGCTTAGTAGTATATAATTCAGAGTGCAGGGGTCAGAAGTAATATAGATTGCTGGAGTCAGTAGTAAGTAATTGTACAGGGGTCAGTTGTATGTAATGTAGAGTGTTGGGAGTCAGTAGTAATTCAGAGTGCTGGGGTAAGTAGTAAATAATTCATAATTGTGAAGTGGAAGGAAAATTATAAA